GGCGCGGGAGGGAGGTACATCAATGTAGAGGGCGGAGGGCGCTGGAACAACGTGTTTTGGGTGTTAGTGCTAGGGTGTCGGCGCATCCCAGGGAGAGGTGGGGGGTGTGATGTGTGACATGTTGATTCTCGCTGACATGTTTTGTGGGTGTCGGTGTGGAGCGTTCTGACCAGATGTGTCCGGGTACACTTGGTTCGTCATGTGTCTGTTCATGCCGGCAACACTTTATGGTTAACATGCATCGTGTGCGGATGAAAGCGGGGTCCGGTAGGTCTCGGAGGGTGCTTGTTTTACCTAGGGCATTAAAAGTGTGGGCATGTTCGACTNCCTAATTAGGAGCGTGTGAATCGAAAACGTTGTTGTCGTTGATACAACTTTTAATGATGTCTCTGCATCCCTGCATTAAATATTCGTCGCGTGGGTAAAACATTGCTCCAGGTTGCAGACCTGAAGGAGACCCACACACACGCTAAAAATTGGGGTCTTGTCGAATCCCATCGCGAACACATTCCTGCGCTTCAAGTGAGCATGCGCGGAGACGGGAAAAATGCAAGGCTCCAAATTTGCGGAACCCAACCGTGCCTCAGAGTTCCCGTCAACACCCAACGTAGTATTGGGTTGCAAGAACAAGTCTTGCAAATAGGAAAACACCAAACGATATGCATGTCCGCAGATTGCCGGCGCGGCAAGTTACCCGCAAGACAGCAATGTCTTCGGCGTTCTTCCACCGTATTTTTTCGTTGATACTCCTTGGTTGCCGCAAGGCATCCTCTCAAAGTGTTGTTGCCAACAACCTACACGTCTCTGCGGAGGGGCACGTATCCTAAACAAAATCATGCTACGAAAAGACGAAGACGTTGACTCAACCATGCCCAACTATAAAAATGAAACCTCCCCCGCCTGGCCCCNCAGCAATGTCTTCGGCGTTCTTCCACCGTATTTTTTCGTTGATACTCCTTGGTTGCCGCAAGGCATCCTCTCAAAGTGTTGTTGCCAACAACCTACACGTCTCTGCGGAGGGGCACGTATCCTAAACAAAATCATGCTACGAAAAGACGAAGACGTTGACTCAACCATGCCCAACTATAAAAATGAAACCTCCCCCGCCTGGCCCCAAAAAAAATAGAAGGCTACGACCCTCGCAGCAAGCAAGCCCTGCAGCAGGGAGAGAAAAACAAAAACGCGCCCTCGTGTTCGTTGAATACAGGCGCAGCAACTTGCCCGTGAACCACAACGGTCTCGGCGTTCTTCCACCGTATTTTTTCGTTGATACTCCTTTGTTGCCGCAAGGCATCCTCTCAAAGTGTTGTTGCCAACCAAACAACCCACACGTCTCTGCGGAGGCGCACGTATCCTCAATGCTGCGACGAAACGAAGACGTTGACTCAACCATGCCCAACGATGAAAATAAAACTCCCCCCCGCCCCCCCCCCGTCACGCATGCATAAAATTCGACGATTGCAAGGTAACACTTTTCCGAGAGTGCATATGGGTGTTATTCGTCGCCAAACATTTCCTTCTCGATGCCGGCAAACATTTTGCGCAGGAATCTAACTCTCATCTGATAACCCGCTTCTTTTTGTTTCTCCTCCTCCACAATTTTCTTCGAGAATTCGGCGTGGCACTCGGTCATTTCCTTGTGGAGGGCGAGGCCAGAAGCTTTGCTGTTGCGTTCAGCAGTCTTGCAAGCGTTTTCCTCTTTTTTTTTGGACCACTCTAATTTTTCCGATCCACCAACCTTTCCCAGCAGTGGCTCCATATCGGCGAGTGCGGTTTTTATGGCAGCGGCGTTGCTTGGTGTGGGTTTATTACGTCTGTTGTGGGAGTCCTCGGGGCTCTCGCCTGGTCGGGACCGGTGTGTGTACGTCGAGCCGTGGCGCTTTACGTAAATTTTGAAAAAATACGCGCCTTCGCGCCTTCTGCCGATAAGAATCACCGGAAACCCTAGTTACGGTTCCGTCAAAAAAGTTACTATTCGGTGAAAAAAGTTACGTATTTTTTCGGCCTGATAATAATACCCCTTACCTGCATGTACATTTTGGGTAGGGTCGGCAAACGTCAACCTTTCCACAAGTGTAGTCTCTGTGTGCGTGAACTTTGGTGCTGGTGCGTAACTTTGTGATATTTTTCATCCGTGAAAGCAATACTGTTCTAACCCGCGCACACCGATTTGAACCCTGTGGTGCTTGCTGCTGACTTTGTACAGTTGGATTGTTTAGTTTTGGACCTCGTCAACAAGGCGCGGATGGCGAAGTACACCGTCACCGGCAACGTCATCCGATCGTTCGGCCGCTCTGCCAAGGCCACCCTGTTGGGCTCGGCGAAAACGACTGACTCTGTGAGGAAGAGGCTCGAGGACTTCAAGGCTGGCGACAAGTGGAGCAAGAACTTCGTGAAGCGCAACGACCTCCACAGCCACAAACTTCATGGGACGGCCGGCAGCGTCGACCACGACCGCATCAAAGAGGGCATGGAGGAGGTCCGCGCTGCTTGCGAGAAGTACCCGGCGAGGAACATCTTCAACGTCGACGAGACCGGCATCCAGTGGAAGCTCATTGCCAGGAGGACGTATCTCGCCGCGTTCGAGGATCGGAAGACCACTAGAGGGAGCAAGAACATGGAGTTCAAGGATCGCATATCTGCGATCATGTGCGCGAATGCCACTGGCACTGCGAAAGTGTCACTGGCGATCATCGGCACGGCCAAGAACCCGCGCTGCTTCAGGCGCCGGAAATGTCCTCTCAAGTACTTCGCGCAAAGCAACGCGTGGTCTGATGGGCCGACCTTCAAGAAGTGGTGGCAGGAGGTTTTCTTACCCTTCATTCGGCGCTGGACTCACGAGCCCGTGCTGCTGCTCATGGATGGCTGCTCGTCGCACGGTGATTTGATCGACCCTGTCGGGCAGGTGGAGGTGGTGATGTACCCACCGAACTGCACCAGCGTACACCAGCCCATGGACATGGGGATCATCGCGGCCACCAAGGTGATCTACAGGAGGGAGCTCCTCGACGCCAAGGTGTCAACCATGCTCGTGGCTCATGCACTGCGCGCCGAGGCCAAGAGCCGCAAGATGGCGCGCGGGACCGCGGGCTTGGCGGAGGGAAACCACCCCCACGTGCTGGACGCGGCAGACCTTCTCAAGACCGCCCGGGGCCGCATCACCCCCACGACCATCGCCAGGTATTGCTTCGAAAATACAAGTGGTGTCCGGTTCTTCCACCTGCAAAGATAGAAACCGGTGTACATCTGATGTATGATTGTGTGCCAGGGTTGAACCCCCTTAGCTGTTTCATGTCGCTGTGAGAAAGACAAATGAATTTGAAATCGCTCNGCGCGCGGGACCGCGGGCTTGGCGGAGGGAAACCACCCCCACGTGCTGGACGCGGCAGACCTTCTCAAGACCGCCTGGGGCAGCATCACCCCCACGACCATCGCCAGGTATTGCTTCGAAAATACAAGTGGTGTCCGGTTCTTCCACCTGCAAAGATAGAAACCGGTGTACATCTGATGTATCATTGTGTGCCAGGGTTGAACCCCCTTAGCTGTTTCATGTCGCTGTGAGAAAGACAAATGAATTTGAAATCGCTCGATTACACGTTTGCCAACAGATGTCCTCGTTTCTTGTGCCTGACACCCTCTATTGCGAATGTGCCGCTGCTTTCCCCGCACCTCGCCCACCAGGTGCTTCGTGAAGGCCAAGACGCTCCCCGAAGATATGGAGGCTGAGCTCACGGCTGCGCACGGGAAGCACAGGCCGAGTGGCTCCGCGGCCCCGGCGGGAGGGCCAGTGCTGGGGCGTGCAGACAAGGAGTCTGTGGATCTTCTCGCAAAGACCCTCACCAGCATGAGCTCACGGGTGCATGAAGCACAGGAGAAGTCCTACGGTGTTGACACGGAGTTGACAGAAATGCTGGCGGCCCTGGGCATCACTGCGGGAGAGCCCGCCGATGCTGCCGCTGTGCGAGCGGCTGAAGTGTGGGCGACGGTGGAGGACCAGCCGGATGTTGTGGAAGCCATGCAGCAGGACGCCGTGGACGAGATGACGGAGCTACTTGATGGCACGGCTCCCGCGGAGGAGAGCTCGGACGACGAAGCGAGCAAGGAACCCTCAAGTCATACGGCACCTCCGCCGTATGCGGCACTTTCGTCGCACTTCGGGGCTCTGGAGACGGCAGCGGAGGGGAGCGGCAACCGTGACGCCGCTTTCCATCTACAGAAGGCCAAAATGGCAATGA